TCCCATTTGCTAGCAAATTAAGTTAATTCACATGCTTAAGGTTTTCATGTCAAAAAAGAAGACAAGCAAAAGGAGTTTGCCAACAAGTCTTGTTTGGTGAAAGCCAACTATAGGCTATTGCTGAGATTTTGTTTTGCTTTGCAAGTTTGCATATATCATGAATATTCATGTCTTAAATCATATAAATGTCTACCAACGATCTTTCTAAGATATTTTTGTGATAATTGGGACGTTTATTTATAAAGCAGAGCATTTGGTAAGTCATACCTTGCCAGCCCCATTTTGGGCTTTAAGTCCTTGTTGTGGAGAAATTATTAGGTGCGGAGTCCGGACGGGAGAACGTAATAATTTCTCCTTGTTGTGACTTGGGAACAAGCAAGTTTTGAGCCAGTTAAAGTAATTTGCATAGGCTCGTTGTTGTAGCGATTTGCTTGGGAAGTCTGGCACTAGTTGAAGTAATTTGCGAAAGATACAACTTTTCTAACTGCTAGCTGGTTGCTGTTTTCAGTGTTCTTGTTCGAGGAGCAACAATTCTATTATAATAACTAAGAAAATGTAAAACAGAAAGCACAGATTGGTGTGAAAGACAATGGCCACATTATTATGGGATCAGTCGTTTTTCTAAAAGCATCACCATGATTTCATTTCACTTGCATCAAATCTATTTTCAGGTTCTCATTTGAAAGAATATATCTCATTTGCCAATATAGAACTTTTGCTCGAAAGCTGATCTTGGCAAAGATTCATTGTGGCGTACGAGAGAGAACTAGCATAATTAAGTCAACCTAAATGTTTCCTGTTTCAAAAAAGAAAAAAAAAGTCAACCTAAATGAGTCTTTTACAGTCCTAGTTTGATCGAGGCAAGCAGCTTATTCAAGTGCTTCTAAAGTTGATATGTGTTAAACTACTGGAATATGTTCATCATTACGCTTATCTCAACTATTCAATCGGTTTTATTTAGATGATTTTTTCATGTGATATTAACTTTTTTTTGTGTTTTTTTTTTTGCACAACTTTTACTATGTTGTATTTAGTCTTGTCATTTTCTTGAATTTTCCATATTAATTCTGTGCATGCACTTAGGAGTGCATCTTCAACTCTTACTTGATAAGCTCAAATAACCCAAGTCTATTTATATTATCTCATTTTATAGGTTTTAGAATGTTTTCTTTGTAACAAGATAGTATTAGCAATTATTTGAGGGGAACTGTATGAAATAATATGTAAAAATAACTTGTAAGGATGAATGATGAGGAACTGCTACTTGGCCTGATAGAAAGCATAAAAAGGGACCATATGATCCTTCTGAACTAAGCCATCGTTTAGTGTTTGACCATTTTGTTTGCCGTGAATAACTTGGCCCGTCCTTTTACTGAATGATTGGATTGAGAGCACCCCCGTTAGATATAAACAATTTATTTTTAGCCAAATAAAATACAAACTAAATGGTCTATACATATGCAATAAAACACTAGTTTAGTCTTTTTTTATTTGTTTTAGGTAAATCGGTTCTATAGTATTAACTTGGTCTACCCAAGTATTATAAATATACCTCTTTTTATAAGAAAATATTATGAAATGAATAATTTTTGGTTTCTTCATTTCTAGTCTCTCTTCTTCCCCTTCTTCTTCCTTAAAGAGTCCACACCTACTCAAAAGGTGTCTTCCCCTTCTTGATGTGTAGATCAAGAAGCATAACAAATTGGTGCTCACGTTGAGACCTTTACCCCCTCATCCCTCTCCAACAGCAACAGCTGCAACCGTTCTTCTTCCACTCCACGGTCAACCTTACAGGCCGTCTGCCTTGAGGACTGCTGTTCTTCTTCCACTCCATCAACAACAGCAGCATCTCTCATCCCTCACCAACAGCAAGAGCAGCAACCTGCTGTTCTTCTTCCACTCCACAGATCAGCGTTCAACGCTGCTGCAAGAAGCAATCCCCCTCTTCAGCCCGTCTTCAGCTGTCCTCTGTTTTTCCTTTCAAGATCCAGTCTCCAATTCATCTCAAAATCAGTCAGCTGCAAGATTCTGCTACCAATAGCTGTTTGGAACCCTCTTCTTGCTGTTTTCTTCAGCAAACCAACCTTCCAAATCCTTCCTCTTCAGTTTCCTGCAGTATTCTTGACACCATTCCATTGCAGCCCTGCAAATTTTTTTTTTCAAGAACTGCTTCTTCTGCAGTTCTTTTGCAGTATTTCAGCCACTGCAGCCCTGCAGAATTTTCACCAACTGCTTCTACAACCACAGCAGGCACAACCACCACAGTATATCTCCTTCAGATTTTCAACCACAACAGCCTTGCTTCAATCACCAGATTCTAGCTGAACACCTTCACAGCTGAGGAAGGCTTCACCGAGTTCTCCATACCTGCGAGACTCATCTACAGGCTTCAACACGGGTGCCAAGTTTCAAGAATGGCTTCCATCACCTCCACCGGTCCATAATCTGCTCCAAGAATCTGTTTTGGTGAACAGCAGTGGTGAACTGCTGTTCACCAAAACTTCAATTACAAATTTTTGGCTCTCCTCCAAGCATACATCAAGTTAAGGTTCTTGTTATCAAGAATCTTATCCTTTATCCATTTTTATCTTGCACCAAAGAACTCTCAGCATGAAAAACACTGTTTGGCGGAAGTCATCCGGACAATACAAACTAATCAAGAATTATAATTCTCTACAACAACAACAACATCATGTGTTTATTCCACTACGTGGGGTCGGCCACAAATAGATTACTATGACAAGCTGATGTTCCATTTTCTTTCATTAGTTCATCCCTTCAACAAATCCATGTTTTCATGGATTTTATAGACAAGAAACTTGATAGTTTGAGTATTGACTGTTCGCATACTCCACCCCATCAAGATAGTTTGCCTTCCGCCAGCATCTTTGGTTCCACTGACCAAATCACTTCACAACTGCAACATTCTCTGACAGGTTTCTCTTGTCTTACACATCATCTACCATTATCCAATTCTACCTTACTCAAACAAGCTCAACATTTGTTTTAGCCACCACAAGTCTTACCTCAACCTCGTACCATTGACCATCGTATTCATCTTCAATTCATATCTCAACCTATTAATATCCATCCTTATCTTTCTCCACATTTTTCAAAAGGATGTTAAATTTAGAGAATTGGAGAGGTAAAAGACTTAATTTTATTATACAAAACTATCTCTATTTATAGATCTATACAAGATGTTTTAATAAAGAAACAATTAACTATAGAATCATGCATAATTGCCTTAATATAAACCTTCCTTAATCAACCACCCAAATATAGAAGGAGATCGATGTGATCCAGGTAAGCCTCCCACGGATCCTCATGCTAGCAGTAGGATCAATGGACAAGGGACGGTTGAGATTTAATAGAGTGATCCAGGTGAGCCTCTCATGGATCCCCATGTTGGCTGTGGGATCAAAGGCCAAGCGAAGGTTGGGATTTTAACACTCCCCCTCAAATTGGGGAATACAAATCTGTCATTCCCAGCTTGGTAATTAGTCCCAGAAAAGTAGAGTTATCAAGTCCTTTTTTTAGATTGAATATACTCCTTAATTTAAAGCCCCTTGGTGCGCCATATTAGTCCTCCATTTGGTCAAAAGTTTGGGAGAAATTAGCTTTATACATTACAGTTGAAAATGGTAGCAATGAAAACTATATTAAGAAGGACATCAATGAAGGCTGCTTTGGTTATAGATAGGATAACAACCACAAGGGAAGGCTTTCAATGAAGGCCCGACAATAGGAAAAAAAATCTGTTTTTAGGGTTGTGGCAAGCTTCTTCAAGGACAACAACAAAAAAACATGTCTTAAGCAACTTGGCACTTGGCACGCATATCTCCTCCCGTTCGATCGAGCCAGCCTTCAGCCAAATACAAATTAGTCGTCCGACTCCACCCGAACACTCTTGTTCGATCAACCCTGTACAGGCGCACGCAAGGCCTCTGATCCCTATAGTTTGATTGCAGGAAGCAGTGCAAGTCTTGCACTCTTGATTGTCTTGGCCTTAGAACCTCACGAGAGGAAACTCTGAACTCATTCCATACGCACGCAAGAGGAGGTCCTGCGCTTGGCTTCTCTCTCTTTTGCTCGGTCGACTCTGGACGTTACAAGTGAGAGGAGCCCTCCTACTCGATATCTCCTTGATCTTGGACGCACGAAAGAATCAAAATGACCAATGTTCTTTAGAATTCCTTTATAAATTATTGCCCCCGGTTTCTTCTCTTCCTCCTTTAAAGTCCACGCCTACTCAAAAGGTGCATTTTCCTTCTTGATGTAGATCAAGAAGCATAGCAGCCCCTCGATATTTTTGCGAGGCAACTTGGCGGGGAGCCAAGAATCAAGAATCTTTGGATATACATATTGTAAATGCCCTTTGTGAGGTTTAGAGCGTATTGGTATTGTGGTTCAGAGGGGAAAGCATGACAAAAGTGCAGCCATAGGCTTACTTCTTCTGAGTTGATTGGGATGCTGAATAAAGGCTGTATTGTTCTGATAAAAAGTTATTTGGCTAATCAAATCGATATTTTCTTACTCAAGTATACTGATGGTATCATGGCATTTGTCCTCATTATTGGAAATTAGCAGATGTTTGCACTTGGTGTTGGTCTTTGTGTGAGACCTACTGGTTTTATTGATATTCCTACCGGCATTCCATATACGTGAGACTTATGTTACTGTCTGGGAACATTTGCTAAGTATGTTGATTCGTTTATTGTTTCCAAAAGTTGATTTTGTTCTGCAATACAGAAAAGGTGGGATGCTCTAATTTTTGTGACTGAAAGGTATTGTATGAAATTTGTGTGTTGATTTATTATTTATAAAGAAGCAAAATACAGTATTATGATTTATATATACTGATGTTATTTTTAGCATTGCGTAACCTTTATGGCAAGTTCTGTTTCCTACTTTCCTGAGAAAAAAAGAAAAAAAAAAAACTTTTACGTACTATATTTTCTTCATTATTCTCTCTTCTGATGCAATGAAAATACTTGCAGATTGAAGGCCAAACAATAAGAGCCAATGAACAACTTAATCGTAAACGAGAAAAGGTGAACCGCAAATATTCACAGCCTGTCAATAGAGGACGGGAACTTTCTCCAGGTTTTCTGGAAGATGCACTTGATGAGGTTTGCTTTGTTTTACATGTTGAACTTAAAAACTGCAAGATAAAATTTATGAATAGATTTACTTTTAAGCAATTCTGTATTGTAATAGTTGCTGAGTTTTTTTCCCTTTAATTGAAGTAACAAGTTCTTAACTAGCAATGGTAAATGCAATGATCTTGATGAATTTGAAATTATTTTTCTTATCTTATTATATGTAACTTTATTAAAAATTTAATGGGTCTTTTTATATATATTTAGATCGATTCCTCATCTAGATATGTAATGGAGGGTGACAACTTTCTCCAGGGCTCTTGAAAAATGTGTTTTAAGTTTTGTTATGTTTTACATTTTGAACGTAAAAACACTAGTATGGAATTTATGAATGGTTATAGTTCTAGCAATTATATATTCAAATAAAATGTCTGAGATGTTCCTTATCATTTAATTAAAAACTTGGTGATTAGCTATTAGCTAATGCGGTGATCTTGATGTTTGCAAAATATTGTTCATGTTCAGCCTTTTATGTATGCCGGTGATCTTTTGCTGACCATTTCTATTAGTATTTACACAACTAAATTAATATAAGCTATTTATGGAAAATTTTAAAGAGAATTATGCGAGGACAAATTATATCTTGATTAAACAGAAGTTCAAGCAAAGTGTTAAGCAGGCCCAGTTGATTAATCGTAGTTTGGTCATGAAAAAACATATTTAATTTGATCTGGAAGCTGCATCTGAGCACTGAATGTATCCTCTAGGAAGATGGATTTGAAGATAACTACAGTTTATTATGGTTTTTCGGCACATCACTTTGCATATTAATTTGGAAAATAAGGTTTGTATTCTTGTCTCAACCATGTTTATGCAACTCCATTGTTCTCTTAATGGCAAGCTTATAAATAGTACTTAACATAAATTCTTATCTTTATGTAAGTTATTTATTGAAATTCTTAAGGAAGTTATCAACGGAATGCTATATCAATTCAATTCTGCACAGCAGGACTATTTTATTAATCTTTGTTTTGGTGATGATTGAATATCTTTAATTTGATCAGGAAGATGAACACGAAGACTACTACAGTTCACGTAAGTTTACAGCTCGTCGTCGTTTTGAAGATGACTTGGAAGCAGAAGCACAGGCTGAGAAGCGAATTATTAATGCCAAAAGGGTATTCTTTTATTTTTTGAGCAACGGAGCTGTTGTACTGCAAAATTTATCACATCTGTTTGCTTATCGTAGTAATAAAATTCTCTCTTATTGGATTCTTCAGCCAAATTTACAGAAAAGCAACCCAAGGAAACCAGCTCAGCCTGCTGCTCGTTTGTCAAGGCGTCCTGTTGAGGACTATTCAGAGAGTGAGAGAGAGGAATCTGAGTATGAAACTGATGGTGAGGATATTGAGGCATCACCAGGTGTTAAGGACAAGGAGCGTGACTATGAGGATGACTACGAGGAAGAGGCAGATGAAGAAGTTGCAGGCATCAATTCTGCCTCAGAAGAAGAGGTAAAGTTATGCACATGTGTATCCTCCTAACTTTTTTCTTTTTTACTTTTTTTTTTTTTTGAAAATTTGTTCGTCCTTGGTTTATATTGACCTAAAGCAGTATTAACTTTAGATACAGTATTAAGTGCTAAATAGTATGATTCTTTGCAAGAAGGCCTAATTTGCAAATTTATTTACGAACTGATAAACCTTTATAAAAGCTGCAATTCATGGGATTGACGTTATCACACATTTATCATCACTTTATTTCCATACAAATCCAAAGACCTAAATCTGAGTTGTGCATAAAGTCCTGTAACTTGTTTCTCTACTGTACATCACAATAATTAAATCACTATGCACACAATCCACCAAAATGTAGAGCATACACCCGCATCCCAAAGATACAATCCATATGATTGGTTGCCTGATGTAATCGAAAAGGCAAATTGAACCTTTTTGCTTAAACGCTGAATTAGTCTTCCTCCTTTCCATAATACCTTCAGAAATGCTATATTCAGGAGTCCCTCTACCCAGAAACTATAATGCCTCAAATCATGACAATTTATAAGATGCAGAGCGCAAAAATCAATTCATTCATCACCACATCATTAGTGTTATCCCCATTCGTAACAATTTGACATCGGCTTTGACAAAGGTCAATTTGTTGATATCATAAAAAGAGTTGAGGGATTGAGAGACAGGAAAAGAAAGGCAAGGAAGTTTTAAGGATTTATGGCTTGCTGGACTAAGCTGAACAGATGGGATATAGAATTCTTGTTCAATCCTAGGGTCCACAGATATTTGCATACTTAAAATATTTAAATATATATAAATATATATAGGCAGGATAGATACCTGGATTTGGGGCTTATTAGGCATGTTTTACATGGGTTGTGTTGGATTTGGTTAGAGTCTGTCGAAAGTTTGGGTTATATACCTAAAATCTTCGTAGATTTTGACGTAGGTTAGGCCAAAAACTGATTCCGTAATAGCATTATAGTGGAGCTGATTTTTCAACTCCTACTGAGTAGAGCTAGAAGGGATTTTGGAAGCAGCAACAACAACAACATCAAATATTTATCCCACTATGTGGGGTCGGCTATTTCTCCATAGTGTCCTGTTAAGAGTTAGATTCTCATTTAAATCTAATAAAGAAAGGTCAATTCTAATATTTTCTAACCAATTTAGGTTTACCTCTACCTTTCTTAATATAAGTAAAATCCAATACATCTACTTTCCTAATTAGTTATCGGAAAGCCGTCATTTTATATGACCAAACCCTAAGACAACTCTCGAACCTTATCTTCCATAGGAGCTACTCCAACCTTTCACATATATGCTCATTTTGTATCCTTTCTCTAAGAGTAAAGTCACTCATCCACCTGAGCATCCTCATCTCTGCAACACTTAACTTAATATTATGCTTCTCTTTTAATGACCAACATTCTGCACCATAAAGCATTGCAGTTCTAACCACCATCTTATAGAATTTTCCCTTAAGTTTAAGGGGGACATTTCTATCACACAACAAGCCCGATGCATTCCTCCACTTCAACCATCCAACTTGAATTCTATTAATAATATCTCCATCTATTTCACCATCACTCTGAAGAATAGACCCAAGATATTGATAACATGTACTCTTATTAATGTGATCACCCAAAGTCATAATCCCCTCACTAGATCTATTATTACTAAAATTTCACTCTATATATTTAGTTTTAGATCTACTCAAACGAAAGCCTTTAGACTCTAAGTTTGACCTTCATAATTCAAGTTTACCTTCAACTCCCTCTGTAATCTTATCAACAATAAGAATATCATTGACAAAAAGCATAAACCATGGTAATACCTCTTGCAAATGTCTAGTGAGAACATCCACGACTAAAGCAAAAAGATATGAGCTTAAGGCTGATCATTGATGTAATCCAACTGAAATAGGAAAAATATTTGGTCAAACCATATTGTGTTTGAACACAAGTAACATATTCTACATACAAATCCTTAATGACTTGAATATAAGCATTATTAACCCCTTTCTTTTTTAGAACTCTCCGTAGCACTTCTCTTGGAACTTTATCATATGCTTTCTCTAAATCAATAAATATCATATGTAAATCCTTCGTATTCTCTCTATACTTCTCAATCAAACCTTTCAATAAATTTATAGCTTCCATTGTAGACCTACCTAACATGTATCCAAATTGATTTTGAGAAACATTAGTATCACGTCGCAAGCTATGCTCCATAACTCTCTTCCATAGTTTTAAAGTATGACATATTAACTTAATTCCTTGATAATTCACACAATTTTGTGCATCATCTTTATTCTTAAAAATAAGAATCAACACACTCATTCTCCACTCATCTGGCATCTTTTTAGTCTTAAACATAATATTAAAAAGTTTAGTGAGCTAAGAAATTCCTTCATCTCCTAAACATTTTCACACCTCTGTTGGAATATCATCAGGTCAACAGCTTTTCCACACTTCATTTTCTTTAAAGCATCTCTAAATTTGGTTTTATTAATACGTTGATAAAAACAAAAATCTTTATTTTCGTTTAGGATTCGCATTCAAAAATATCTTATCCACCTTTGTTAAATATCTTCTTCTAATAAAAGCACTTTTTGAATTTCATCCTTAATACACTTCACTTGAACTAAATCTTTTCTGATCTTATCTCTTAGTTTTAAAGTGAAATACCCAACTAACCAAATTGTTATTCCTTCATGCTCTTATCTCATCCACACTTCATTTATATATAATCTTTCACCCTTCTTAGTATCTAATACACTATATAAATCATTTGAAGCTAAAATTTTTGCATCACACATTATTTTCTTAGATTCCTTGCGGTCCTCTTTGTATCTTTTTCAATTATCCGAAATTTTATATTTAAATTAATTTTTATAACAAATTTTCTTATTTTTTATATTTTTTTATACATTTCGATCAAAATGTTAGAATGTTAGAAAGCTGAATCAAAATTTGAAAACTCAGAAATATGGAATCTCGAGCATTTCCAACAGTCCAATGACTAAGGACTAACAATTTGGTTACTTGGGTATTCCACTTGGAAAATTGCTTCTTCACAAATGACTCCGTAGTATATTGGGGTTTTCCATGATAAGAATTGTCTATTTATTTTGTAAAGTATGACAACCCATATGAGGTATCCCATAACTGTCTAGTTACAATACTAAGTTACAAAATATGTGAAATTGCATTTCTTTTTTATTTACGAAATATTAGTGTAAGTTGTAAAGAACAATGCCCCCATTATTTGTCCTGCAGTTTAAACAACCACTCTTCATCTGATTTACTCCTGCAAAAACATTGATTTTTTTTTTTTCTTCTTATTAATCAGTTATTGCTTCTTTTTCCCTTACTGTTAGGAACCAAGGAGAAATGTTAGGGAGAGTGGAGGCAGCAGTCTCAAGCGAAAGGAAATAGACTCAGATGTGGATTCTCCACCCAGGAAGGCAGTACATCGCAGGAAAGCGGTCGTCTTTGATAGCGATGATGACTGATGCGTAATGAAGTGCATGCCATAAAGGTTTACTTCTCTCTTTGGCATGGACATATTAAGTCATTTAACTCATGCATACTAAGTATGGTTTGTAAACTCAAGAAATAATTCTTGAGATAAATTCAATGAGTGAATGAGCCAAATTTGTGCTAGCTCTATGTCAACTCGTTAATTAATGAGTTGACTTGTTAAAAAAATAGTAATATAAAGGATATTTAAAACATATTATAATTTAAGGATTTGGGTGGGGTTGCTATTTTTTTTTTTTTTTTGAAATTCTACCCTTTCTTTTGGGAAATGATTTCTATTTGTTCACCTAATTTCTTATTCTTTATATCATTTATTAGGATATCATATTCTTTTTCAAATTAGTTGCGTTGGCCTGTGAGCCTTTTAAAACTTTATAAAAGTGAACTAAAGTTCATCTCAACTTATTCACCTCGTCTTAATCATGTATAACTTTTTTTCTTAAGCGAATTTAGGTTTCATACCTTCTTAAAATAATTTTTCAGTATAATAATTTAAATTTTTGTACTACAAAACTGCTTTACACAGCAATAAGAAAGTCATTCCAAATGAAGCTGAAGGATTCGTTTGGTAGCTTCAAAGGATTTGTTTGGAACAACTTTCGTATTGATTTTTAAAACGACTTTTTAGTACAAATTTTAAATTCAATAAAATTTTGTACTAAAAAGTTGTTTTAGAAAGCAAGAAGAAAGCCGCCCCAAATGAAGCCTTAATCTCATATTCACACGCATGCAGCCTTAATCTCATATTCTCACGCATGCATAAGCTAGACTCAATTTGACAGCTTTTGTTTGGAAGTTAAGTTATCAAATAATCTGCTAAAATGGCATGCAGATCTTAACGATTTTTGTTCTTTGCACACTATTCTGTAGTACGTAATTATTATACTTATCCTTATTTTTCTGGATAAGTAGGTCTTTGCCAGGAATTTCTGCTGCATCTTGGTGAAGTCAATTCAAATTCCACCGTGAGGATATCTGCTTCAGCCCTGTGATAACTGCACGCAGAAAAAAATGTTGTCTGCTCTCCGCACCAATTTTATTTGTTTGATGGAAAAAATGGCAGTGTGGATTTTCATCACCAAAAAGAAATATGCGACATCTCGAGGTATTGTACTGTTATGAGATGTTCATAATTGTTCCGAAGTTAATCTTTTTTTCATTAATTCCCCTTTACTGGTCTACTATTTGTATCGTATCTTACAATCATCCTAAATAAAAAAAAAATCATGAATTATTGTTTCATATTTGCATGTTGCAGTATTACATTCAGGATTTTTTTAAAAAATAAATTATCAGTTCAAATTATTCTGTGTGGAGATTAGACGTAGAATGCTGTTCAGAGATTAATTAGAATGCGCCACGTCAGTGGTACCGAGCACAGAGGTGAGGTGGCGCATTCTAGTTGGTCTCCAGATAGTGTTTTGGGTCCGCACAGAATAATTAATCCTTGTTTAGGGATGATGATTATGTTCTAAGCTTAAAGAGTTCAAGCTCATTTGATGATTGCATTTATTAAAATCACTGTTTGATTAGGATGACTTGCTAGAAATTAAATTAACAATGAAAAAGATGTTCTTTCATTATAAAATCTTGGGGAGAATTTTCCACCCTAAAGAAAAAGGTGGAGTAGGTTAGCTGCCCATGCCATGTTCTGTGGCTCTGAAAAAAAAAAAAAAACGCAACGTACTATAAAACTGCTGATAGATATTTCAATAAACAAAATCGTATATAAATAAAACTGCTTGTTATATGATATAATATTAACAGGATTGATGAGGAATGAGAGTCCCATATCTTTCAGTGCTGTAAACGGTCTTTAAAATCATAGATTATAAAATAGTCATAATTTTATAATTTACTTGGGGTCATTTGGATGACTTTTATTTATTTTTCGTTATTATTTCATTATTTATTGTTTAATGTGTGTGTTATGCAAGGCATACATATTCATTTTAATCAATATAAAATTAGTGGTCATTAATATGAAATCGAAAATCAATATTGATACATTAATAAAAATTAATATGATCAGTAAAGCATTGCAAAAAGCTTATGAATTTGTTTAAGATATAATGCAATGTTAGGTGTCATGTAGGAAAGCATATATAGATTAGTAATCGGATATATAAATGGTCTTTAAAACCATATATTATAAAATAATAATAATTTTATAAATTGCTTGGGGGTCATTTGGATCAGTTTTATTTATTTTTCATTATTTATTTTTATTTCATTATATTCATATTATATCTTGAAATGAAAACAAATTTATTTTTTAACATGCATATGCTAAAATCAAATTGGACGAATGAGAATGACAATTAAATCGAATGATTTAAACCTTATTTATGGCAAAAAAATTGGTAGGAAACCTGTAGAAAAAAAAAACTCTTTTAGTTAAATTATTGTAATCTTACAATGACCAACAATCAAATATAATATGATATACACACAATATAACATAAGAACACCTACTTCAATAAATTAGATTTAATTAAAAGCCAAACAATAAACTAGTATAAACTGAATTAACATATGAACCATTACATCAGTTCTCTATATCTATTGTCAATATAATGCAAACGTACATCAACAACTTTACTCAAACTAGCACTATTGCATTACTTCTCTTTCGTGTCCTCACTATCCTTAAGCTATGTCCTCTTGCCAAAATAATTATGGGCTGCGATGTTGTGCTCTCCAAAGGAGAGCGCTATACACCGTGGGGTTGGAATTCCAAATTTTATAAAAATGTCAATTTCCACTCATTTTATTTTATCAAAAAACCATTTCTCCCCCTAAGTGCCGCAAGCTAGAGAGAGAAAGAGAGAGAAGGATTCTAAAGAGAGAAAGCTAGGTTTTGGCCACTTCGATTCATTTTCTGCTATCGATCCATTTCAGGAAGTTGTCCGGATTGATATACGTTACATTCTGTCTATCTCAATTTTTAAAATATTAAAATTTTAGAATTTTTTATTACATTTATAATTTCGTTGCGTAAAAAATGATGATAATTTTACACCCACTAAACTTTTACTTCGTATCTTTTTTGTATTGTAGATATGACTTTTATGAACATTTAGGTTTTTTTCTTTGAAAATTGCTGTTGAATAATTTAAGAATTGGTAAATTATTCTGATCTAAAAAAATAATACAATAGTATAGTTAAAACTTTAAAATGATATTATGAATAATATCTGATAATTTGGTGAATATATATATATATATATATATAAATGGTGTTTGTGTGATTCTGAGGAGATTTGATATGTGACAAAAGTTCTAGTATTGAATGTACAGAGAGTCATAAGGGTTAAAATATTTGAATATCTAATATGTGCTAAAGTCATAAAAGAATATTTTTTAATATGCTAGCATAAGAAGTTATAAAGATCTGAATTTTGATATCTATTTTTTATGGGAGGTACAAGGGCATGAGATGATTCTATTTCTTTTTGCTTTGATATATGAAATATTTGTTTATTTACTTTAAGTATAAAATTTATTTAAATACGGGTAACTACTAGTATTATTATGTTTAGTACAACAATTGGCCATTGAATGCCTTTATTTTAATAAATACATATGAGTTTATTTTTGGGAATTGGGGTTGATAGTTGTGATATGTTGAGTTTTATTGGCTCACACTTACTATGATGCATTAAGACCTAAATTAGAAGAGTTGCATCTTTTTATCTTCTAATTAATCTGCTAGAGTTGTTAATTTTATATTATATTAATCAAAATAGTGAAAGAATCAATATATATAATCATCCACCAATATATACATCACTAATCAGTATACATATATAATAACTAGAAGTTTAATATATGGCATCCATCTATTACAACCTTTATGGTTACAAAAGAATAATAATAAAAAAAACTAAATCATATTTAACTCCGATCAATCTCACTTAGCTTATCTCCCCTTCCGAAACTTGATATGAATCAAATCCACATAATGAGCTTACAAGGCCAAGCAATCAATCATAACTGCCAAAACTTTAAATACAAGATAATAATATTAATATGCATGCTCACCTCAATCAATATAAATTAAATAATTTTTTTTTTAAAGGAAATATATTAATAGCACAAAAATAAAGGTTACATCAGCATAAAAAGAAAAGCTAGCAGATAAAAAAACAACAGAGAGAATTAGAAAATAAAAGCGAGCTCAGAACAAAGACAAAGCTAGCAGCGTCCAGTGAGTCCCGAACGGAACCACCAGAAAGCGAATTCCACCAGCAAAGAAGGACCAGGACGCGAGCCCGAAGCACATCATAACCCAAAGCCTCACGTAGCAGCAGATCAAACAGTAACTCCGCCAAATCCCGAGAAGAAGCAACAAGAATCAACAAACATACGAAACGAAAAATCATCTCCTGCGTCGACCTTTCCCCCAAAATTTTCCGCGAGAGCCAACCTTTGAAGTACGCACAAGAGTAAAATCATTGTCGGACTCAACAGACTGCGAATCCGACTCCACATCCGACGAATCGACCAAACAATTATTCTGATTCCTACTATCCAAACCAGAAGAATTACCCACACAATTGACCATCACTTGGAAATCAACCACGCTTACAGGGACCACAACTAAACTGTTGGTATTCAAATTAACTTCCTCTCTTCCCTTCTCAATTTCAGCCGGCACCACCGTAACAGGCAAAACACTATCAGAACCACCATCTGCATCTTTTGAACCTTGAACACCCCCATTAGAATTCACAACACCCATAACTGGCGAGCCATCAGAAAACACCACATTCATTGCATCAAAAACCACCTCCGGCACCACCACCGGAGAACCATGGTCACTAACATCAGTTACAACCGGAGGTACAAACGGAGCTGCATCGGGGGATAAGACAGAACAGTTATCAACACAATTACTAGGCACATCATTCACAGCATTAACCACATCAACCACATTCACGGATGGGTTAGAAGTGACCAAAGACTCCAAAATCTCCGAATTTCCGCACACAGGCAACGGCCGATCCCCAAGATCGGGAAGATCGCTCGCAACCTGCGCCTCATCAACAGGCTTCACCACATTCTCACGAGATTTATTCACATTCAAAGAAGCAGAAAAGTTACCACAATCCCCCTTGAAATGACCAAGCCGTTTACACACAACACAATAAGCAGGCACCTCCTCGAAACAAACTCGTTGAACATACCCAGAATTCTCCGAACCAAGCCAAATTTTATCAGGAAGGTCCTTAGTAATGTCAATCTCCACCAGGACCCTCGCCAGAGAAGGTCTAGATCCGACAGATGTAGAATTATCAACTTTTAAAGGACGGCCAAACATCGAAGCCAAAGCATGAAGGAAAAATGGTCAATATCTCGTGGTTAATAGTTTGGATTATTACAAATGATATTAGAGCAATACACAAAGCGCGATTTAAAGGACCCATCCAAGAAACCGGGGTCACAAACACGACTAACCACCATAATGAAAAAGGCAGAAAAATGAGAGGGCAAACTTCCCTGGACAGCAACCTGAAGAAAACAAGCCCAGGCGGCGGCGAAGCCCAGCTGTCGCGAAAGCAGGCGGCGGCGTGACCAGCCGTTGCGAGCGGCGATAAGCCCAAACCGTCGCGGACGAGAAGCCCAAGCTGGAACGGCGAAGCCCAGCCTTGATTATAAATTAAATAGTTATTTGTATTGATATGTCATAAAAAAGTATCTTGATCGGGCACGAATCTAGATGCAAATATAAAAAAAAACTTACAAAATTAAATTTGGGATCCTCTAAACTCTGATTTAAACAAACTTATTGAAAAATTTAACATCCTGGAAGACAAACCCAACAATACCAAAATTAGTCCAATATGAACCCAAATTGGTCCAAATCAAGGGCCCGAAGCTTATTAGAAGCTTCATAATATTAATTGGATGATAAAATGATATCCAAATGTGACATGCTTATAATCTAATCGAGCCACTTGACAAGTCAAATCCAACAAGCCTAAGATCGTTGAATTATGACATCATTAAGACACTCAAATGCTTAATAAATGACCTATGATTGAGGGAGTTGATATCGGCCGTCCATTAAAACACTCTCAATGCGCCCTTGATTTTCTCTTTAATGTATTGTAATAAATAAAGTATAATTAGACTTAATTCAGAAAATATCAAAATGTCCTAACGACAGATAATAAAAAATCCTATTTTGGAAAAAAATTACACTTTTATAAATTAATCAAATTAATAGAGATTATGTAAA